CAATTAAATAATTAAAACACTAACAAGTAATTCCAATCAAATAACTAAACCAATTACACTTAAACCATTAATGCCACTTAAATAATTAAAACACTAACAAGTAATTCCAATCAAATAACTAAAAATAAATATCATTTAAATAAATTAAATCACCACAAAAGAAATAAATTAAATCACCATAAAAGAAAATAATTAAGCACCTAATAAAAAAAATAATGACACGTAATCAAATAAAATACACTTAAATAATAAATTAAATACCATTAAATACCAGGAATATCCTTTTTAAAATTAGGGGTATTACAACTAGGGAGTCACCATAGCGTGGTTGAGCTAGTTGGGCCCCATAATGACGCTGCGGGGGTACCAAGGGTCAGGGACACTAGCCAATCTTCCTCTCGCATCGCTACGAGGTCACCAAAGGGTGGGCTATATTAACAATTTGAAAGTGATGATTAAATTGTGAAATTGGGGAGTGACATCGGCATGTATTACATCTTCATTGCATTTTATTAATTTTGTAGAGATTGATAACCATGTTGTATTTTCCCCTACATTGTATGACCCTGACTCCTATTGGCTTATTCTTTGTTTTGGATTCATGGAGTCTCATGAGGTACGTCTTAGGCGCCACCTATTGAGCAAATTACTCACCCCACCATACTTATATTTTTTTCAGGTCATGGCAAGGAAATGGCGGATGAAAATCCTCCGTAAGTTTGAAAGTTGTTAGAAAATGATTTTTTGCTATTTTGTATTTGGCCATTTCATGTATAATCATAGTTTTGGGGAATGTAAATAAGTTTGTAATTTTGGCCATTGGGTAATGTAATTAAGTTTTATTTACTCAAAACCCTTTATTGTATTTTAGTGACGTGTGGCAAATTTTACTATCAATGTGGTTGTTGAAATTGCAATTTAGTGTTGAAATATATGTAAACTTGTACGTGAATGTAGTGGCGTGGGTGGTTGATCCCAAAAAGTGGTATATTCTATTTTACTTTGGACAGTGGCAAAATGAGTAAGGATAACCTAAACCGGTCGACATAAAATCCCACACGTCGACCGAGTTGCGTGAACTAGTCGACGTGTAGCTTCTCACACGTCGACCGGTATGTTGCCAGTAACCATCTGTTGGTGCACGTCCCAAACCAGTCGACGTGTAGCTTCCCACACATCGACCGGTATCTCGACAGTGGGAATTACCACTGTTTATAACCCAAACCAGTCGACGTGTTATACATATACGTCGACCGGTTTACGTCACTTATGTAATAACTATTTAAGTTCTTAAATTACACTTTGGCACCCAAGTGAGATTACACATAATTATTTTATGACCTACTAAAATGAAATAATTGTACTTTGACCACCGAAAAGACTATATTGTCCCGGATCATACTTTATTTATTATGCAATGCAAGCAAATGACTGTTTTACCCTTGAGTCTCAAATTATTGATTTATAGTAATTTACTATCTCGCCCTTTTGGACCTTGATAATCGAAATTAACGTGAAAGGATCGTATTACCCTTGGACGATTCTGGGTCGGGTAAGGACTCGTTTAATGATCCGGATCCAGTGGATCTGGGTCGTTACATTGCATGTTTTAGCCGGCTGATCCTTCTCGTCAGCCGACCGAAACCCCAGGTTCGGCCGATCAAACCCCATCGTCAGCCGACCGAAACGCCTGTACAGTGAAAGTCCCAAGAGCCATTTTCCTCACCATCGTTTCGGCCGACCGATCTTGCTTTGTCCGTCGACCGATCCTACCTTGTCAGCCGGCCGACCATGGGCCATCAGCCGGCCGACCATGGGCCATCAGCCGGTTGACAGTCCCTCTTTAACCTGTGTTGTTTGGACCTCCTTGTAAGCTTGACTTGGTACATTTTGGAACCTTGAATTACTTTGTATAATGGTTAAGAATTCAAGAAAATTAACGGTCTGACCTAGTTAACCTTGGGTTCGGGTAAGGACCCGGGTAACGGTCCAGATCCATGGATTCGGGACGTTATATCACATAATAGGGATAACTTAGATGTGCGCACACACACACGATCACACATACTACGTGTACCGAAAAATAGTTATTGCCGGGCTACAAACTCTCTGGGAACTACTTTAGTGGCCACATTTGGGAGTTTAAGCTCATCCGTGATAACCAAACTATCACATTCTCAAAGTAACATTGTCCTAAATATCTCCAAAAAATCAACAATCATTTTCACAATGTAACATGTACATCTCAACCCAAATGATGCATTCCACAAGCGCACGAAAATATTAGTTTACACAAAATCTTGGCCTAAGGTCCTTAACATTAAGTCATGGCATGAATGTAAACATGATAACATACATTAGATTTGTTAATGCTCTAGCAACAAGTATACCATAATGCTAGCAACATTTTTTCAATACTCTAGCAACCTAATAAATGTAATCATCAATACATAGTCCTTGAATCAAAATGTAATTTTATACAATTCCAACAAAGTTTGAATACACCATGTACATCAAAATTCTTATATGAGAAGAATGTAAGGGCAACAACTTCTACTTATCATGTAAGTCAAATTAAAGTACACCACACTATTACTTGAACACTAAAATCACAAGATGTATACTCATGCTTTTAGAACATCATATGAACTTAGGTTGTAAATGAAAATAAACAAAACTCTACATAACTCATACAGCACAAACATATCATATGAAATTCTCCAATACATAAGGAAACACCATGGTTACAATTATATTACACCCCTTACCTCACTCAAGAAGAGCAACCTAGAGAATACAAGAGAGAAATGTCACAAAGCTAAATCCAAAGATAGGGTTTTGTTGCAAATGGAGTCCCTAAGCTTTATCTCTTCTATGGCTTGTCCAAAAGGTGAAATGAAAGTGGAAGAAATGAAGGTCTACAATAGAGCTTCCATGGAGTTAGAGAGAGAAAGTGAGGAGGAAGAATATGAAAATTAGGAGAAAAAGTGAGATGTGTAAAGTGATTTATATAACAAAAACCAACCCTAGCACTACCCTCTCTCACACACTACCATCCCCACCCTCTACTTGTCATCATCCATTCATCCTAGCCTCCTCCACATGTCGCCAATCCCTCTTCAACATATGGCCCAATCAACACCTAACATTTGTCTCAACTTTTCCTTAATTGCACAAAAGTCCCTCTAAGAAAATATCTCTAAAATATAATCGTAATATTGCCCAAAAGAAAATATCTTCAAAAAATACTCGCACAAAGGCCCCCAAAAATGAAAATATTCCCAAAACATTATAGCACAAATACCCCCATAGAATATAAATTAAAATGCATACAAGTGTTATGCAATACTATAATGTCACAAGGGCAAAATGCAAAAGAATGAATAAATGAAGTGTCGGGAGCCATTCCCAAATACTTGACCTTATCTTGGGCCCACATAACCCTAAGACGAAAATAAATAAAATAAAATAATAATAATAACTCGAAAAAGAAAAGATAACCCAGTCATCACAGTCTCATTTTTGCATAATAGAAAAGGGATTTTAGAAAGATAAAATTTTAAAGATAAAACTATCCTTACAGAATCCCAATTATAGCGGCACATCACCATCGACTTAGGCTTAAATATTTGTAGGGGATCAAATCCCCCAAGCCACTTGGCATATCTAACGTCATTAGAGTCCACTCGAGCCAGGTACTTTGGCAAACTAAAGGACAAAGAACCCACATGCCTCGACTGAGCTAGACACTAATAATCACATGAATGAATCTCAGCTACCGCCGCTTTCGAAATGATGGGTATTTAATGTAATAGTACCTATCCTCAAGACAAAAGGACTGGAATACCCATATTATATCTAGTAAAGCCATCATGGCTACCCTAGTAGAAGTCTCGACGGACTTTCCCACTCGTGTAAGGACCTGGCCTATAAATAAGGGTTAAGGCGCCCAAGCCCAGGAGGCTCCATTGTACTTTGTATTCAGATATCTTCCCTTTTTATTGAATAATATTGATTTCCATTACAAAACCCTCCACAATATTTGGTGCAAGTATCATTTTCCTTGATTTAAATATGAAATGAAAGTCACTCCCACTTTTAAATGTCAAACCAAGCAATTTTTATTTTTATTTTTTTATTTATTTTTAACGGTTCCATTCCATTGATGCACACCAAATTAGTCTTTAATTTCTATCCTTATTAGACTTTTTTTTTTTTTTTTTTTCTCATCTATCATTACATATTATTTCCTGAATGTATATTTAGAACTCTTTCTATAACATGGCTACTTTAATTTTAATATTGATAGTTTAGATTTAGTTTTAGAACTAAAAGTTTTAAAATAAATTTTAAAAATAGAAACAACCACTGTAAAAGAAATGTTTAATTACATAAAAAGAATATTGTTAACAATACATTTAATTGGTGCTGCAACAAAAAAAAAAAGTTTTTCAAAGTTAAAATTAATAAAATCATATCTTGTATCAGCTATATATGTCATAAAATAAATTAAATGGACTAATTATATTATCTTAAAAAAGATACTTTAGCAAATAAAATACAAGAATCTAATTAGTAACTTTGCATCTTTAAATAGTGAAAAGGTATAATTTTTAAATAAACATTGTTAATTATTATTTGGCTATGGCCTTGAATCGCATTGGTTCCATGTTGTGCACCTTAAACGGCACCCTTTTGCTGAGACTCTTGAGACCCAATCCCTTTGCACCGGCGGGAATTTCAATCGCATTCTCAGCTGAATTATATTAATAATTATGTTATAATCCAAAGACTAGGATGAGTTAGGCACAGCATCTCGACTCCTTAAAAAAAAAATCCTTGTAACTCTCGTGATGTTTACTGGTCTGAAATAAATAAATAAATAAATATTTTGAACCTTTCAGATCCTATCCGGTTGAAGTGTCCCACATCAAGATATTTTCAACAGATATTTCTAGTCCCTCGCACCCTCGATCTTCTACATATATACTCATCCCAAATCATTTAGTCTTACTCATCCACAAACCCTTACAAGATAATACACAACACACATCAACAATTGAATGGCAACCATGGCCACCACTCTCGCATCTTCTCTTTCCTCAAACCCTAAACCATCTTTCTTTGATAACAAATCATCCTTCCATGGCTCACCCACCATCTCATCTCGTGTCCAACCCATCAACTCCTCACCACAAAACCTCTCAATCACCATGTCCTCCACCCCCACACCACCACCATACGACCTCCAATCCTTTAAGTTCGCCCCCATCAAAGAATCAACCGTTGCACGTGAAATGACCCGCCGTTACATGATGGACATGATCAGCCATGCAGACACCGACGTTGTCGTCGTCGGCGCTGGCTCCGCCGGTCTCTCCTGCGCCTACGAGCTCAGCAAGAACCCCTCCATCCGTGTTGCCATCATTGAGCAATCCGTAAGCCCCGGTGGCGGCGCGTGGCTCGGCGGCCAGCTCTTCTCGGCCATGGTGGTGCGTAAACCGGCTCATAGATTCTTGGACGAGCTCGAAATCGAGTACGACGAGCAAGACAACTACGTTGTCATCAAGCATGCCGCCTTGTTCACTTCGACCATCATGAGCAAGCTCTTGGCCAGGCCGAACGTGAAGCTCTTCAATGCGGTCGCGGCCGAGGATTTGATCGTGAAAGGTGAGAGAGTGTCGGGCGTTGTCACCAATTGGGCGTTGGTTTCCATGAACCATGATACTCAGTCCTGCATGGACCCCAATGTCATGGAAGCAAAAGTGGTGGTCAGTTCTTGTGGCCATGACGGTCCGTTCGGAGCTACGGGTGTTAAGAGGCTGAAGACCATAGGAATGATAGATAGCGTGCCGGGGATGAAGGCCCTCGACATGAATACGGCAGAGGATGCCATAGTTCGGCTCACGAGGGAGGTCGTACCCGGTATGATCGTTACGGGCATGGAAGTAGCTGAAATTGACGGAGCTCCAAGAATGGTAATTAATTTGTTCTAATTTTTTTTTTCATTATATTGCAATTCAAGGTTTATGTTACTAGTTTTAGAGAAAATCTGGTAGAATATTAACAATTCTAGACCATCATCCTCTGGTGTGGTCCTACAACAATAACGGTCCATGATTGAAATACAACCATTAATTATTGTAAGCACTTAATCTCACATTAACTCTGGCTTACTCTGAAAGATAAGTTAGGCCTAAAACACTCTTTTATCCTCTAACATATGTTTACTTCACATAGTATTTTAGGTCTTAAATATCAATTTTTTTTCTTTTTCTTTTTTTTTTTTCTTGTTGTAAATACTTAGTAAGACATAAAAACCCATATGATACTTCTAAGATAATCTCTGTAATATTTCTTGTCACATAATTGATATTGTTTGGTCCTAACAAATTGAATGAACAGGGTCCAACATTTGGAGCAATGATGATATCGGGCCAGAAGGCGGCCCACCTGGCATTGAGGGCATTGGGGCAGCCGAATGCGCTGGACGGGACATACAGAGGAGAAGTGGGAAGCATACAACCAGAGCTCATTCTTGCTGCTGCAGAAACAGGGGAGACTGTTCATACCTAATAATTGGATCGATTGAGAAGGGTATGCTGCAGTGAATTACTTAATAAATATACCATTTTGGTAGGGCGGATGTGTAGAATGAAATGTAGATGCAATTGTGGTTTTTCTTGGGGGTGGAGCACCACTTTTATGAACTAGTTGTTGAAAATTAGTAGTACCTTCTTTGGAAGATATTGCTTGATTTCTGAACCACATAAACTTTTTATTATTTTTAGTTTGCGAGGTTTTATCCAATAAATTTTTGTTTTATATCTTTAGTGTGGAATATATTCTTGTTTAATTTTAATTAGAAAATGTGGAAGCTCAAAAAATCTTTTCAGATTTGTGCCCAAAAAGACAAGAGACGATCAAAAGGCTTCTTGTGTGTTGCCTAGAAGTAGAGGTTGCCCGAATTGTGAGATCACTACAAGTTTATGAGACTGGGAGAAATAGTTATACTAAACAAAATTTTGTGGTGTGTGTGTGTGTGTTGCTTAACATTTCAAAAAAACCAAAAGTACATACTTTTTGTTTGGACAGATTTTGCACAACTGTTGTGACAACTGAACTGCACACACATAAATATATGGCATATAATTTTTGGATGCTTTCAAACCTGATCGTTGATACTTTTACAATTTACAAAGGCCGAAGCCTTGAATGCCCAAAAGAGCAAAAAGCATTGGGACCAGCCCAAAAGAAAGCCCGAAAGCTAAAAATACATCTTCATTCTTAACAGAAGTTTGGGGTTGGATTAGTAACTTTTTTGTTTTTTTTTTTTTTTATTTGCAGTCACAAGGAAGTAGAAATATAATTTTTTTTTCTTGGGTGACAATAAGCAAAAAATAATGTTTAATAATACATATTTGTTATAGATTTACATAATGTTTTTTTAATTATTTTATTTTAAAAATTAATTTTAATTTTTTTCATTAGTACAAAAAAAAACCTTTAATATGTATGCAATTTAATTATTTCACAAATATTTAAAATATCAATACAGGATAATAAATTATAACAAATATTTAATAATACTCAATACATAAGTACAAAATAAGATATATTAGGACAAAAACACTCTCACCAATTATGTATATAAGTACATGTATATGCATTATCTATACATTTATTATAAGATAATAATATACGTTAAAATATATTATATTATAATAAATAAATAATATTAAATAATATAACTATAATATAATATAATATAGATATGAAATTTAATAATATATTATATCTGTTGCATAATATTATATAAAATAAATAATAAATATATAATAAATCATAATTTTTTTGTCCCAAAAATAATTTACACTATTATATAATATATTATATTTTAAAAATATATTTTTGTTAAATAAAAAATAATTTACACTAATATGTAATATAAATACAATTATATATTAAAAATATATTTTTATTAGTATTCAATATGTAGCATTAGTATATTAGTATATAGGGGAAGTGTAGAAAATACCCCTAAGGTATACTTTTCGTAACACTTTTACCTCGTATTTAAAAAAGTGTGCAATAAACACTCCTAATCTTTTGAAATTGTGCAAAATTACCCCTCCGTCAGAAATCTAACATAAATTATTGCTATAATACCTATTTTGCCCTTTTACTCGATTTTCCCAAAATATTCAATGGGGTATATATGCTATAAATCTCATAATATATGGGTATTTTGTGCACATTACCTTATATAATTTATATATATATATATTTATTTTTTTTCTCTATATATACCCCTTTAGTGTTTTCTCTCTCTATACTTCCTCTAACATTTGTCTCTCTTTAGCATTGTATTTTTTTTTTTCTCTCTCTCTCTATTTTTTTTCCAGCTAGAGGCATACATACAATAATATTATATGGAATTTTCAACCTCAAGAAGTCGTTCTTACTCATATGGAAAGGGAAATAATGTTACTACCATTGTAAAGTTAAAAGTCCTTTGAGGATTTCAAATATAGAGAGAAATCTAGGTAAAAGGTTTTATGGTTGTGCAAACTATAAAACTGGTTCATGTGGTTTTTTAAGGTGGAAAGATGAAGAATTGCCTGAGTGCTACCGTAAATTAGTTTGGGATCTTATAACAGATGTGTAAGAGTTGCAACGAGCTAAAACATCAACAAGAATTTTAAAGGCACCCATGAATGTGAAGGAAGAAAGGTTATTGGAATTAGAAAATATGATAGTAAACTTGAGAAAAGAAGTGAAAAAAAACTGCTGAAGTTCAGCTTTCGGTACTACTGTTGGTGGAATATGTTGTGGTTTGTTTGGCATTTTTCTCTTTGGCTTCTTTACCTGTATTGTATTTCTTAAGATAGCGATGTGAATATCTTATTTGACTTCCTATATTGCATGCTTATATTTTAGTTTCTGTTGTGAATTTGTTCATGAAATATTGCATTTAACTTTAATAATTCAACCATATGAATGAAAAACTGTCATCTCTAAACATTCAACCATGTCAATTCATTCATCTAACCTGTCATTCATCAACCATTCAATCAGTACAAACCATATATATCAAATCATTCAACTATACCAATGCCATATTTATCAAACCATTCAACCATACCAATGAATACCTTATTAATAACCATTCACTAAAAAAAAAAAAAAAAAAAAAACGTCCAATGCACCTTCATAAACTTGAAGGAACTGGAATAATTAATTTACCAAAATAATTATCCTAAACAAAATCCAGTTTCACCTTCAGTAAAGGTACCACTTTCAACAGCAAAAAAAAAGAAAAAAAAGAAAAACTCATGTAGAACCACTTTCATCATCAAGTCATCCTAATGAAAAAGTAAGCAAGTCTATACAAATCATCCTAGTCAAAAAGTAAGCAAGCCTATACAAGTCATCCTAGTCAGCCTATACAAAAAGTAATACTAGTTTCAGCAACTTCAAAAGTATTACTATTTTCACCATCATACACAAAGTAATTGTTATACTAATTTAAGTCATACCTAACACAGTTCTGCATATGTTGCTGAGATACCAAAATCCATCAATAGTCCCTGCAAACTGGCCAACAAGTAATGATCTAATAGCTTCATTATCCTCTTCATTTGGTTTGCTGACATAAATGAATATTTTTGTATGTCTCAAATATAGCCATCACACTTAGGTCATTAAAAACTTGTAATAAATGTCCATGGATAGAATCCATGTAAAAAATCTTGTTGTATGCATTCAAATGAAGGCTTTTGAGCATGCCTTGAAGTTCAATGTATGACATTGTATCACTGTCCACATTATCAAACAGCTCCAAGTCACCTCCAACATACTTGTTACGCTTATCGAAATTACCCGAATGATGGAGATGAATGAAATGACTTGTCTCCATCTACTAAATAGTTACAAAGTACACAACACCACTAACAATGAGTAAACTCTAAAACTATCCATGCATATCAAAGCGGGATCTATAGATCCGTCAAACAATATGCATGGCATGGACACTAAAAAAGATAATTAGTATACATGTACAATAAAGAACAATGTGGAAATTAAAAAATAATAAAGTTATTATAGACATGCAATATTAAAGTCAATATACATGTATAATAAAGAATAATATGTAGCAATAAACAATAAAGTCGTAGTGTGCTTGGAATAATTATTCAAAGACAAAAAAAAAAAAAAAAAAAAAACCCTTAACTTTTTAGGCTACGTGGTCCACCATTATGAAAACTAGCAACTCTTAACCACATAAACAAACAACACAAACATATAAAATGCCAAAAATGTATTGAATGAAGATAGAAATAGCCAATTTGACAACTTATAGTAAATAAATATATATATATATATAAAATAATCTGTTATGCTGGGGACCATAAATGCAATCAATATGCTATGCTGGGGATCACAAAAGCAATCAGAAAAAAAATTGAAACAAAAACCCTAACAAATAAGGAAAAAAAAAACCACTGTAATATGGATCACAGAATCAATCATATTCACAAAGTCAAAAGGAAAAAAAACAAAGTCGACGTAGCATTCAATCAGTCAATTACAAAATAAAAAAATAAAAGCTTAACTTTATAGACATATTGTAGAGAGAGAAATAGATATATAGAAATCCTAACATATATCACAAAGAATGAAAATTATCCTAAAGAGAAAGGAAAAAACCTTAATAGAGAAGGAAATGTAGTGTGGTGATTTAACAGAGAGAAAAAAATACCCATTAATAAATTACATATATTAAAACTCTAATAGAGGGCAAAATAAATAAAATAAGAAAGAAGGAAAAAAAACCTTAACAAAGAAGGAAAAATACCCTAACAGAGAAGGGGAAAAAAAAAAAAAAAAATTTTTTTTTGATAAGTAAAAATAAATCGTGGTGCTAACAGAGAAGGAAAAAAACCTTATGTAGTGCGGTGATTTAATAGAGAGAGAAAAATATACCCATCAATAAATTACATATATTAGAACTCTAAAAAAAAAAAAAAAAAACCATAACAAAGAAGGAAAAAAAACCTTAACAAAAAAGGAAAATTACCCTAACAGAGAAGGAAAAAAAAAAAAGAAGGAAAAAAACCTTAACAAAGGAAATGTAGTGCGGTGATTTAATAGAGAGAGAAAAAAATACCCATCAATAAATCACATATATTAAAACACTAACAGAGAAGGAAATAAAACCTTAACAAAGAAGGAAAAAAACCTTAACGGAGAAGGAAATAAAACCTTAACAAAGAAGGAAAAAAAACCCTAACAGAGAAGAAATTAAAATCCTTAACGAGAGAAAAATCATATGGACATAAATAAACTAGAAAGATAAATAAGGGTTACAAAGAACTTACATTCAGGTTTTGCAGAAGGACACGAACCAACCTTCGATCTTTAAACGATTTATACGTTTAGGGTCAATGGAACTTAAGGCTAGGGTTTTTGGTTTGCAATGGAAGATCGTGATCACGATCGCAACCTAAGGCTAGGGTTCTGGTTTCTCTCTATAGAACGTGACCCCTCCTTGTGATGATGAGAATAAATCTAGGGTTTCTGGTATCAAGAACATGAGGTTGCGATTGCAACCCGTTAGGGTTTGTGGTCGCTCTCTTAAAAACGTGAGGCAGTGATGATGCAAATGAATTAGAAAAATGGTTTAAAGTTTTAATGAAAATGGGTGTGCAACTTGCAAAATGACGTCACTACTTTAGTGTGTCCTTTTTGGTCTTTTTATAAATAAAAAAATATTATTTTTATATATTTAATAAAATGTTTTAGTAAGGGTACTTTGGTCAATTTA